GAGAGAGAGAGAGAGAGAGAGAGCAATAGTAAATGTTTAAAAAATATAATATGAGTAAATATTTGTGTATATTTTGAATACAAATAATAGTGTTTTTGTGTGAAGCGATTGAATGCGAAAATAATGATTATTTTTCAATCAATCAAACAATTGATTGCAATTCATGTAAAATCAGTGATAAAATGCTAAACAATTGTCATATCATTACTAAATATTAAGAAGATTATTTGCACTATGTTTGGTATAAATATCAATACAAATTAATCCAAAAAATTTATTAACTAATAAATTATTAGTAATAATAACTTAAATATAATTATTTTCATAGTTATTAAATTGATTAATAAACTAATTTTATTTTAAACTTTAAATGGTTGATTACTAGTCTATTGATAAAAATAAAGTTTTTGTTGTTATTGTCGGCGAATTGCCATCACTTATAACGGAATGGATTTGGCGGCCAATAATGCGAACCAATCGCACGATCGATGCCTACAATTATCGCTATTACGGGTGATCTCGTTGTCGGACCTCTTCTATAGCTATTTCACACACAATTCGCGTCACTTATTGGCGAAAAATATGCAGAAAATTGAATTCAATTGTATTGATAGCAAAAAACTATTGTCTAAATTTGTGGCACAGAATCAGTGCCTCCAGAGTCTGGCCGTAAATGTTTGTCTCTTTACGCCGAGTCTTTGGCCCAAATTTGCGGACATTTGTCACAATTACCACTATTACGGGAACTGACACTCGGACTGGTGTTTGGTTCGCCGGACGGACTCAACTGTTCGGTGATTAACCACTCTTTGCGGTCAATTGGTGTGAATTGCAAACAATTATACCGTTTGTCACTTGAGTTAATGATTTTTGATGCCATCGACCCGACACTCGAGACATCATTGGATTCGTTGAGATGTTATTCACGGTTAAGACGATTGCGTTTAGCTATAGATGTGGCCATCGATGACCGGCTGTTGGATCCGTTGAGACACTGCAAGAGATTAACGCATTTAGAGCTCTGTTTACGGAAAATGACAGCAAATGTGTTGAAATATATGCATATAAATTGTCCGCGACTTCAATACCTATTCATTCGTGACTTCTATAGCATTATAGACACCGAGTGTTTGTCTCACATCTCAAGACTACCGGCGCTGCAAATGCTTGTCATTGACGGCAAAAACTGTTGCGACGACTCCGAAGACTCTGAAGGCTGTGGCGAAGAATCTAATGATCTCTCGGATAATGAATTGAATGCTGTGTTGTCTTCGAGTCCTAAACTCAAGACAATTGAAATCCGTGTCAACAATGAGAAGAAGTTTTATTCAAAGTAAATGTGGAAATATTTAGTGTTTTATTATTAAAGTAATTAATTAATATTAAATTTATTAAATGTTTGAATGTTTCGTTCATTTCATATATTACTTGCATTTAATGCCTATTTTATGCCAATTATGTGATATAAAAGTGAAATAAAAATGAAAAACTAAGTTATATTGAGTCCACCGCCCGATTCTGTGAATACAGGCGCCAGCAATCCTACCATCCCTTAGCCATAAAGTGGTCATAAACCCCAGATGTGGGTCACCTGTGCCCACATAGACGTACAGCACCTAAAGTGCTGTCCATTACTTGCCATTCTGTACTCATTCTCTCTCACACTCTCTCACACACACTCTTACTGATGAGTTGTGCTGTTATTTTGCCTCTAAATCAAAGTGATTTCAACGAGTTTGGTCTCCGGCCTATCTCTCGCCCGCTTAACGCTAAGCACTGAAAATATTAATCGCAATTAAATGTCATTTTGAAAACATTTAATATTTATAATTAAATGTTTAAACCGTGCGTTCATTTCATACATGATTTTGTGCACTATTTTTATCGACAATTTATTTATTATATTTTTTATATACAAATCTCTGTTTTATAAAACACTTTCAATTGATTGAAATAAATATAATTATTTAAATTAAAACACAATTAAAAACTTATTAAAAGTGTTATAAAAAGTAATGAAAATATGTGTCAATAGATGTCTCACTCGTTGTCAACACTTTGTGTTGGCTTTGAATTCAATACAAATATTATCACATGTTTTGCGATAGAAATACAATTCATTCAAACAATCACTTCATTTGATCACAAGATATGACACAAGAAGTGACACAAATGATGGAATCACTCGAGACCACAGATGACGGCAATGGAGACAACAGACAACAGGTATTTGATAAAGAATTTAATTATTTATTGAGTTTTAAATGTGTTTTTGTCTCACATTTTAGTCAAAGACTTACGCGAAGTACTCAATGGACAGATTCGGTGATGACATGTGTGGACTCATATTATCCTATCTCTCATTCAAAGATAGATTTCGATTGGAATGTGTGTCCAAACAGTTCCAGAGGACAGTCTTCGACAGTGTTATCGACATCAATATCAATGACCGACTTATAAGACAAATACAAAGAACAACAATAACTCAAACAATAGCAACAATTGCCACAAAGTGTCCAAACATTGAGACCATTGACTTGAGAGGAATGTTCATTAAATGCGAACACATTCCAGAAGTGTTGCGATTATTTCGAGACAATTGTCTTAATTTGCGGGAAGTTTACTGCAATTTACGGTCAAATACGGCACAATTGTATCAACAGTTCGGACCACTGGTCACACGAATCGGTAATATTTTGCGTAAACACTAACCAAATCTCTAACCACTGATTGTCTGCTCAATAGAATGCAATGATTTGTCCGACACTGTCGTCGACACCACTTCTGGACAACAATTGGTCAACAATTTGAAGACATTTAGTTTTCATTTCTATTACCCCAATGACACCCAACTATTGTCGGCATTCGTGGCACACAATCAGTGTCTCAAAAGTGTCGACTTTAAAGAAATGTACATCGATTTGAACGATACTATTCCCGAAATGTGCGGCCAATTGTCACGATTAACACAATTACGGGAATTGAGTCTACGGTTGGGAATAATGAATAGCAAGACACTTGTGGCGAACCAGTCTTTGCGTACAATCGGCGAGAATTGCAAACAATTGCAACGATTGTCACTCGAGTTTGGCAGCGAATCACCCGTTCTTAATGTCGAAGCATTGGATTCATTGCGATATTATTGCCGATTAAAACGATTGCATTTAACAATAAATGCGGCCATCGATGACCAACTGTTTGATCCGTTGAGACACTGCAAGAGATTAACGCATTTAGAGCTGTATTTGCCGCGAATGACAGCGAAAGCGTTCATCAATTGTTTTAAGAACTGTCCTCGACTTCAATACCTATACATTCATGACTTCAACGACATTATGGGCGCCGAGTGTTTGGATGAGTTGTCACGACTACCGGCGCTGCAAACGCTTATTATTTTCTTCCGTCGAGACTATGATCTCATTAATAATGATTTCTCGGATCTGTTCACTAGAAGTGCTAAACTCAAGTGCATTCGGCTTCACGTAAACAATGGCATCAAATTTTATTACCGATAATTTGTAACAAATGTTTTTCCAGTCAATGGTTCCATCATTGGTGATGAGTGACGATCATTAGTGACCATGGTCAATTTTGATATGTTTATAACTTATTCTAAATTAGTTGTAATTATCATTAAAGTTACAATAATTAGCGTTCATTTCATACATGTTTTTATTATTGACAGTATTTTTCGTGAATTTGATTTTTATATTAAAATCTCATGTTTTGTGTAATTTTGTAAAACATTTTAATTTGAAATAAATATAATTATTTGAATTAAATCTGTATTTAAAACCCAATTAAACACTCATTGAAAGTGTGGGCAAAAAGTGGTATAAAAATGAAAATATGTGTCAATAGATGTCTCACTCGTTGTCAACACTTTGTGTTGGCTTTCATTGAATGTAAATATTATGACATTTTTGTGTCACAAATACAATTCATTCAAACAATCACTTCATTTGATCCCAAGATATGGCACACGAAGTGAAACATTTGAAGACATCACTCGAGAACAGATATGAAGACAACAAACAGGTATTTGACAAACAATTGACTGTTTATTGAGTTTTAATTTTTTTGTTTCACATTTTAGGCGAAGAACTCAATGAACAGATTCGGTGATGACTTGTGCCGACTTTTGTTGTCTTACTTTCCACTCGAAGACAGATTCCGATACGAATGTGTGTCTAAACAGTTCCAGAGGACAGTCTTCGGGAGTTTTGTGGACATTACTCTTAGCGATGGATTTATTTATAAATTACTAAAAGAGAAGACAATTGACACCCAATTATTGGCCACAATTGCCATAAAGTGTCGAAACTTTCAGACCATTGACTGCCGAGGAATAGGCACTGAATACGAGAGACGTATTACCGAAGTGTTGAACACATTTCGAGACAATTGTCTTAATTTGCGAGAAGTTTACTGCAATTTAAACATAAAGAGAAGTCAAATGATGCTAACATTCGGACCTCTGGTCACACGAATCTATTCTATGGATCCATTCAGGAGACAATCACTCATTCATTGCCACCGATTGTCGCATTTAGTCGTAAAATCTTTGTCCGACGTCTTCGACAAGACTTGCGGCCGACTATTGGCGAAGAATTTACACAAATTTACATTTTCTTGCGATTCAAACAAAGATAAGAAACTATTGTCTGAATTCGTGGCACAGAATCAGTGCCTCAAAAGTCTTGTGGTATTACAGATCAGATATAAAAGTGCGGACACTTTGCCCGAAATGTGCGGACAATTGTCACGATTACCGCAATTACGGGAACTGAAACTCAGTTTAATGAGTGATCAAAAGTCATTGTCTAAGTCTTTGCGTACAATTGGCTTAAACTGCAAACAATTGCAACGATTGTCACTCGTCTTCGCCACAACTGATTCCGAATTCAATGGTCAGACATTGGATTCATTGAGACTTTATTCCCGATTAAAACGATTGGATTTATATTTCTACGACGGAATCGATGGGGAAGTGTTGGAACCGTTGAAACTCTGCCACCGATTAACACATCTGACACTCAATACATGGGAATTAAGTGACCATTTTCTTGCCGATTGTGACCAACATTGGCCGCGACTGCAATACCTGTGCTTCAATATTACTGAACTGACCGGCGATTGTTTGTCACACATCTCAAGACTACCGGCTCTGCAAACGCTTGTCATTGACTTCGAAGAATGTGACGACAACTCTGAAGGCTGTGGCGAAGAATCTAATGATCTCTCGGATAATAAATACTCGGATCTGTTGTCCAGAAATCCTAAACTCAAGAACATTACAATCAATGGACAGAATATCCCAAAGTCTTATTGCCCTTAAAATGAGTTAAATGTTTAATAAACTATAAAAACCGATAATTTATTTAATATATGTTTACGCTTTAATTACATGAGTCAAGAAATCACTAAGTCATGAATCATGACTCGTACATTATTTTTATTACTAATTAAATATTATATTAATATTAATCATGTTTAACGAGTTATAATTGTTTTCAATTAGCATAATTGTATTTTTAATTTATATAATCTAGTCTAACTATAAATATAATTAACAATAATTTCCCGGATCTGTTGTCCAGAAGTCCTAAACTAAAGTGCATTCAATTCATGGCAAAACTCATCAGAAAATACTTTTACCGCAAAAATGCTTTAAATGTTTAATATTTGTTACAAATAATTGAATTTTGCGAAAATAAATATTAATCACAATTAAAGTGACGATTAATGCAATTATTAATACTTAATCCCAATACCTTTAGAACTGAACCCCTATTCTCACTATAGGTGTAGTGCGTGACGTCAAACACTGGCTCTGATTTCAATGTTTATATGTATTTGTATGCATTCAATGTATTTCAATGTGTGACGCAATGTCTGTACCTCACTCTTCTCACAGTACATGTAGTGCATGACGTATACCTAATATTACAGTCGCGTAGTATATTTAAAGTATATGTGGCGTATCCGCTATGCAAACAGACTGTATTGCATTGTGTGATGCAATGTCTGTATAGTGTTTGCAAATGCCATGCATTGAGTGCAACGCATGGCATTGAAAACACGTTTTTATCACTGCCATCACCACTACTACTGACCACTACTACTGACCACAACTACTGACCACATATGGACACCACCGGCCCGTCGGACACCCTATCGGTGAGAGAGAGAATGAGTACAGAATGGCAAGTAATGGACAGCACTTTAGGTGCTGTACGTCTATGTGGGCACAGGT